ATGTCATTTGGATCATCAGATTGTGGAAACAAAGGCCTCGAATTCATACTGTGTTACCAAGGTTGTGAATTCGGGATAAGTCAAGATCGCTGCTCCCATTGATTTTCAAAGATGATGCTTCATAGATTTTACAGCAGATTCCTCCGAAATGTGGTGCGGCTGGAGGAATGAAATTCCATTTAACATTTTCTGAAGCCAGGAAAGAATGAAGATGTTCATTTTTCTGACATAACAAGAAAGCCTTATGTATTTCCTTGCTAGCACCCTTGAAGTTCGTTCCACAGTCACTAAATATTTCTTTTGGTTTTCTTCTCCTGGATATAAACCATTTTAATGCTTCCCCACAAGCCTTAGAAGATCTTCGACAACTTCAAGATGGGAAAATAAATGGGAGCCTGCTATAGTTTTAAAAAAGCATTCAACTCCTAGATCATGTTGGATTAGAACAAAAGATAATAGGGTAATTAGACAGAATAAATTCCATATAAGAAAACTAAAAATCAGAAGAATTTAGTGATATTAGACTATTATGATCTATATGTAATGAGAATGGGGAAAATATAAGTAGTGAACATCCAAAAATATATATAATAATCCTCACCATCAAGATAATAGCAATAATATTAATCGTGATTGTGTATATAAAACAAGAAGTGGTGGTAATGTATATCGACTATCCAAATATGATAATTATGTAATGCATTGATTCCTATGACTCTCCCAAAAGAGGGGAGATGTTGCATATATGTGGCAACACACTGCTGGTCGAACTGAAGTGAAGTAATTGTCAGTTGATGTTGGTTTGGAATAAACGATGTGCTATGTGAGCGTGTTGTAAGGAACATAATTATAGATCAAATATTAATATGATTATAACAAGGCCAACATTATTCTAGACAGTTCACTATACTTTAAAAATTCCATTAGCACCTTTCAGTTTTCCAGGTAAACTTCACCGAGTGCCAGTCTTAGATGGTTTTATAACTTTATCCAAACTTTCTAATTGTAAACTGCAAAATTTAGACTGCAATTTATCAGTTGCAACATCAAAATCATCTTTCATACTAAAGTAAAACTGGAAATCTATTCAAAAAGTATCTTGTATCTATTGGGAGACATTTTTCTAAATAAAGCTGCAGCATTATCCGATGCAGTGGCAGTTTGTGTTCCAGTAAAAAGGCAGAGAACAGGCATTCTGTATTAAAAACCCTTTGGTCCTTTGTTTCCACAAAAAAATTTATTTATTTATTTATTTATTTATTTTCAATAGAGCTTAAGTTGTCCTTGTATTTTTGTGTAAGCACATGTTTGATAACATTGGCCCCTTTACCGTGCGAAATCGAAAAATCGCAATGACAAATGGCACACATCACAAATGTATTACATTTCCTTGAAGAAATAATAGAAGGAAAGTCATCTGTATACAATTTTTGAAAAGTACACAAGTATTTTACCTTTTTTGCAAACATAACTAAAACAAAAGATCGTAATTTCTTAAACTATTTCTCGAAAGCATGTACACTAACACCGCTCAGTGACAAGATGAATGAAATAACAGCCTTGATCTTGCTTTGTGCTCATTTGCTAATATATGCCAAATAACATGCAGTAGCGCTCGATGCCAATTGGAGAACTGGTGCACGACATTTTAGAACACATGTGATCTCACTCACAAAGCAGAAGTGCGCCATAAATTCTCAGATGTAACGACCCCGGTTTTCTTTTAGATTTAATCTAGAGAAAAACTAAGTGACACCTTTTTTTGGTGCAAATAACGAAGTATTAAGCCAAGATACATAAAAATAGTGAAAAATTTTAAGTATAAGAAAAAATCAGGAGAAATATGTCGCAAATAGGGTTGGCGGGAGAACAGTCAGAAATCGGGAGAGTTGGCATCTCTGCACAAGTCTTAAAGAAGTATATTTGCAAAATAATAACTGGAGCTAACCAGCCTAAGGGGTCAAAGAGTCTGGCAACTTCTGACAGCACATTCCTTTTAGTGACACCTGAAATTACAGAAGGTAGAATGTTAAAATTTAATGTGCAACTTTGGGAAATGCCAGTTTATTCCTAACACCTTCTTTGATTGTTCCTTGAAAATGTCTAACTGAAGTGCATTTTCTCTAAGTTCTTCTGGTATTCCTCCTAATACACCAGGCATGTTATATCACCATTTCCAAAGTATGAAGCCTCCTCTACACATAAGATTATCTATACCATGCATTAAATTTTTGGCAGCAGTTCTTGATGCAGCACCATTTCCAAAGTATGAAGCCTCCTCTACACATAAGATTATCTATGTCATGCATTACATTTTTGGCAGCAGTTCTTAATGCATCACCTGTTAAAAGATCATCCACATAAAAACCAGATTTGATAACTTCCAAAGCCCTTGGAAAATCCCTTTGTTCATCTAATGCTAATTGGAGAAGAGAACGGGTTGATAAGAAGGGTGCAGGGGAAGTTCCATATATCACCATTAGTAGTTGATATTCTTGAATTGGTTCATTCACATGATTTCTCCAAAGAATGCGCTGAAAATTTGTATCTTCTTGATGCACATGAATTTGTCCATACATTTTTTCTATATCTGCACAGATAGCAACAGCATATGTTCTAAATTGGATGTGAATGTCAAGCAACTCTGGTTGAATTCTAGGGCCTACGTGTAGCAGATCATTAAGTGAATATTCACTGGATGTTTTTGCTGATGTGTCAAATACAACTCTTAATTTAGTGCTAGTCCTTGATGGTTTAAATACTGAATGGTAAGGAAGATAATAGACTATTGTAGGGACAGGTTCAGAATCAGGTATGACTTCCATATGTTGCAAATGCAAATACTCATCAAGAAACCCCTTATATAAGTTATATAGTTCTCACTAGTCTATTTTCCAAAAGTAAAAACCTTACAGCTTACAATTCCCTTGAATTTCCTAATTCTGATGGCGATTTCTTGAATGGTAATCTTAATACATATCCACCTGTGTTGACTCTGTTATGAGAAGTTTTAAAATGTTCCTCACATCTTACTTCGGATTTTGACAGAACAGTTTCTTCTGGAAGAAATTGTTTTGTCCAAAATTGAGAGTCCAAAATTTCTTAACTAATTCATCAGTAGTTAACTCTAAATTATTTAATGATATGAAAGAGTTCACATAAAAATTAAATAATGCTGTTCCTGAAATGATCCAACCTAATTTTGAATGAACAACTGTTGGAAGTTCTTGGTTTCATTTAATTGGTTCCCTAGAATATCTATTAGAGCAAATTCATAAAATGTAGGATCTGCCAAAATCAGATAATTGAAAGAATTTAAAATATTCGATGGTAATGATATATGTGGTAAGTTTCCACAAACCTTGTCCATAACAAAAACAGATGTTGTAAAGGAAGAAAGTAATTTCCAGTTCTCCATTTGTTTGAGATGTTGTTGAGCCTAGGTACGATATCTGGATCTTTGCTTTTTTCTATCCAGATGAAGTTTTGAGAGACAGCTCTCAGTAATGAAGTTTGCCTGTGAGCCAGAATCCAACAAGGCTTGACACTGTATGAAATTACTTAGCGCATTAGCGCATCGCGCAAGTTGATTGCTCATCATCAATTGCAGCAGTTCACAATAAAACTTCCTTGCTTATAGTTCCACTATTCACAAAATTAGAGTGTATCTGATTAAAATTATTAGAAACGTTATGGGATAGTATTTCCTGTGATATTTTGAACCCTTGCATGAATGGACAATGTATTTCAATTATTATTAGTAGCAGATAAAAACAGTAGCTCGAAATTTCGGGAAACGGAATAGTGATTATTATGACATGTTTTTCATCTACTCAAGCTTTTACAAGCCTTAACATTATGCACATTAGATAAACAATTAAAACAAAGTTTATTAATCTTCAAAATTGAATCTCTTGCTGACAGGCAATTTACCGAATTCATCACACTTATATAAGTAATGATCTTTCTTACAATAGGAACAATTCTAAAACCAAAGTTTCTAAACCAAAGATGTGACTTTAGAACTTATCCGTCTTTCTCTCAAATTGGTCACGTTTATTCGAAAATCTATCTTTGAGTAAATCCCAAGCAATTTTATAAATTTTAATCTGAAATAGGTATAGCTTGAATTATTTTCAGAGCTTCAGCCTTACAAGAGCTCTTAAGATATCTGATAATTTAACTTGAGCATGTGATAATTTAACATTGTGTACACTGGCCTTAAAAGATCGCTAAATGTAAGCCATTGATCTAAATTTCCATTAAAGGTAGGTACAGTTAATTTTGGAAATTTTACTTCTGTAGTATCTGATTTAATACTAACTGAACTAACATTATCAAGGTGAGAACTTTTTTGTTCTAAATCCAAATAGAGATCATCAATTATATTTGATATTATTTGATATTCTTCAATATAGGTATCAACTTCTTTTTCCTCACATGTTACATAAATGTTATCAAAAATACGTGAAACATCTGCACTTAAAATATTGTTTCTTTTTTAAAAGTTCAATTTTTGCCTCATTGGCTTTAGCAATCTCAGAATTCATTTTATCTTTAAATTTCGTTACATTGCTTTTAGCGACTCGTTTCTTTACTAATAGTGATTTCATTTCCAATTATGAAAAATGTAAAATTAACTTACCCTAAATTGATACAGCATATGTTTTTTTTAAATGAGTCAGCAACAGTTGATAGCATCAAAATTATTTGATTAATACGAAAAATATATATTATCCATCAGGAGATGACAAATAAATGTTCGTTGCAGAGATTAAAACACAAGATGCGAAGCTTTGTAAACAAATCTATGAATCGAACATACTAAAAATGGCTTATGCTGCGTTTGTAGCATACAAAAACAAAATTGAGCAAAAGGAATTATTGTTTCCAAACTCATAAATCCTCCAGTGAAACAGTACCAAATAATAAATATGGCAAAGCGATGCAGATTAATTATAAAAAGCAGTGGACTGTATTAAAATGCGATTTTATTTTCAAGACAAAAAAAAAAAAAAAAAATTGTTGCAAAACCAGCTAAAATAAAACAGAATATCTACTCTCAACTCCAAGGCACGAGTGGTCACGTGATTGACTTAATAAATCTGCTTTCGTAATAGTAGTGTCATCTACAAAATTACATTTAATAATAACAAATCTAATATATATCCCAAGTTCGTGCTTTCGAGACATGGGAAAACATAAGTTAAATTTTGACAACTGGTCCAGTAGAACAGGAGATATAGAACTGTCCCATTCATTTCTCAGGGTTCGTACACATGTCTCCACATGGAAATTAAGGACCTAAGAGCAAATGGAAAATGAATAAATTCAATTAAAAATATTATCTATGCCTGAACGTCCCTTTTGTGATACCATCTTAAAAATAAATGGATCCGTAAATAGGCTGCATTATTAAACATAACTTAATTTACATAATTATTAATAAGTTAGAGAATAAAATAAACTTTATGAAATTCAGCTAGTAGTATTAAATATTTTACACTTATAATAATTGGACAAATTTCTAAAGTTACTAACAGTTAGCTTTATGTTGATTTTTTTTAATGTCTCATTTTGTCACATACTTGCTCAGTTTAAAAGCTTGGTAAATAGCAGGTAGACTTTATGTCAAGCGGCATAGGTTAAAATGAGAAGTAAAATCATAATCAGCACGATTCATAACAAAAGACTGGCTGTTTGCTGCTGCTTATCTAGAGAGAGACCTGCTGATTAGAACAAACCTGAAAGGCTTGATGTAGGTATGGTTGGCAAGTCTTAAAAGTTCATCAGGCTTTGTTTGATGCAGTTAGTGTCATAGCTTTGTGTAGAGTTCCAGGGGTTGTAACCCAGTTAATATACTTTAAAGTTCCAATAAGCCACTAAAAGCACCAGAGGTGATAAGTTGTTTTGTATTATTTTAAGTCTCACTAGATGTGAAGAATAAGTTTTACATAAATTTTTACGTTTTTGTGTTTTATCTTGTGACTACGGTAAGGATCAATGAAAGGCGATAGCTCATTTTAATATGCAGAGATAATTTTTAAGGGTAAACAGTTAGTTATAAATAATTAAATTCGGTAGTTAGATAACCTTAGTCTTTATGGATTTACATAGCCACTATTAAATTTTATTTATTTTTACAAAATTTGTTAGAAAAGTCAAATGTCGGCAGCTATAACGCAGAGATGAATAATTACAAATTATCAAAGCTGGCAGGAACTAATGCAGCGAGCTAGTGGAGGTCAGAAACACACTCTGTCTTACACTCCAAAAACCTCAGTTTAAAAACTATCTTAGTCATTTGCATTCTGGTGAGAAAACGAAATGGGAAATTATAGTAAAAGGCTGAAATTATAAACAACTGGGTAATTTACATAATAATAACTGTACACATCTTTGAAGAATAATTATCTTTCTCTTTATGTATTCAGTTTCTTTTTTCAACATGTTTCCCTTTCACTTTAGAATTTTTTGATTTAATTAAAGATTTCTGTTATTCTAATCTCTACCTTAAAAATTTGTAGATATATTTTTTAACATGACAGAAGTATTCTGCATTTCTAGAAAATTAAATCTGGCGAATGAGGAGTTGGATGAAGTTGTTCAAGTACTTTGCAAAGGAGCCATTCTTTCACAATTTTGTCATAATATTTCAGACTTTTATTCTTCTGAAAAATCCTCTAGCTTCCAAGTTGTAAACAGATGCCTGTAAATAACCCTGCAATATCTTTGGATACTTCTAAATGCCTATTTACCTTCAATGAGCACTAATTTAACAACACCGGGCAATAAAGTTTCAAATCATCATCAACCCTCCATCGAACCCACTTCTTGGAATGGTATTTTCAGGTTTCATTTCTTCATGTTTACTCTGATAAACATTTCCATGATCATCAAATCAAAAAAAATGTTACATCTATTCACATTGATAAATTATGGTATTCCAAGAAGCAATGAGTTTCTTGAAACTCTAGAACAGATAATTTGGATTTTTCCTAATTGTTTTCAGAACACTTTAAATTTCTCAAGGCGACCACTACAGTGCATGTAAAAAATTCAAAACATTTTGGAGAGCAACAGTTGATAGCATTTTCTGCTTTGTTACATGATATAAACAGCCAGTCATCACAGATCACTTTGAGGTTACCATGTAAAAGCAAAACTGGTTCTCTATTGCAATAATGGTAATGAGGGTTTCAATTTGATAGCTCATTGATTAAAAACAAACAACTTATAATTTTTTTGCAAAAGGAAAAAAAAATTGAGGTCTTTCTTTCAGTGGTAAATCAGATATAAAAATTGTTTGAAACAGTTAATTGTCAGAAACAAATGTATCTATGACAGCAGTCTGAGAAGTTTGTTGAATAATGTGTAATTAGTTGCCCTGTAATTACTAAAAACAGCTTGGACCCTAGAATGACTGTTTCCAACAATTTCTGAAATTGCTCCATAGGAATTTTTCCTTTTTTGTAAATATATTTCAAATTTTTGGTGTTAGCAGATAATTCCTTAGATTCAACTTTTTATCTGGAATATTAATGAAACCTAATAATAAACAAAAGATTCAGTTATCATCAGAGAGATGTAATTATGGTTCATTTTTGCTTAAGTATGAGCAAACCTGATTGATGCAGCTTAGAACCATACTTTTATGATGCAAGTTTTAGAGATTTTTACATATTCATTTTGATTTGTTTGATCTTTAGCAAACATTATTAAATTCATAATATGCAAAGCTACTAAAGAAGGAAGGAGATGTTCTAGTAAGAATGGGTACATTTTAACAACAACATATTCATTTTTATAACTGACTGTATGTAAGACAAAATTTTCACATATTTAAATCTTCAAAATTCTACTGACTACTTCAGATGGACATGTTTTAACGACTTTTGATATTAATACATTAGATCTTACCTTTCTTCAGGCATCAGACTTTCTGATTGACTATCCTCTCCAGTTGTTCCAGCTTGTGTACAGTTAGATTCACGTGCTATTTTTTAAAAATATTAAATTAAAATGCTTAAATTAAGATTTAAAAATTAGACAAAATCGCATAAAAATAATTTATATTCTATGAATCCTTCTAAATAATTGAACTTTTGTTACCTGATGAATAATTTTGCAGCAAAAGGGTTTCTTTCTGATCACATTATACATGTTCAGTGATATTAAAAATTTTAACTTGATACCAAATATAAAATATGTCTTCTTTTTTGTAAAATATTACAGGCTTATACATTTAAAAAAAAATAATGCATTTGTAAACGGGAAACTATGAAAAGAGTGTCAAGTTAAAATAAAACATGTTCTAAAATTATCTTCAATTACCTCTCATTAAATCTAAACTAGCAAGGTTCTGCTTTTTTGCAACTCAAAATTTCATTTATACTCAAAACGTTTTGTTTATTTTCAAGCACAAACCACACATTATCTGTAACTTATAATGGTTACCAAAAAAAAAAAAAAAGAAAAGAAAAGAAAAAGAAAAGAAAAGAAAAGATCCAGTGTAAAACATTATTCAGAGATAAATGTGCGATTTACTATATGTTCAAATGAATTTCCAAACAATATTGAAACATACACAATAAACAGCATTACATTTTTTTCTGCCAGAAAAGAACGCTTGGAGGTGGAAAATGGACAGCTACAATGCATAATTTGATAATTTATGCAATACAAAACTGTACTAACTAGAAATTCCAAAAGAAATAAAAATGTATTTTAATTCGATAGCTCATGTTATATCATGATAAAGTACAAAAAATTGTGTCTAGAAGCTGTACACTAAGTATACATTCAAAGCTATACACTAAGTATACATTCAAGATGAATATTTTAAATCTCAGGTTCAGTGAAGATCAGTTCAGTTAGTACAAGTATTAAAAATTCTCCACCAGTGAATTTCTCACAGCTTGAAATGCCCATCAGCGGTCAAGTGGTAAAGTCGCTGAACATTGGTAGCGCGACCTGGGCAGCTGCAGAACCAGTATACTATAGTGGCAAATCTAATCTTGAAGATTACATGATACTAAAATATTACAGATTAGCATTTGAAACAGTTACAGTTTTTTTATACATCCCAATAAAATATTCATTCATTATATCACTTTTTTTCCAATGATCAAATTCTATTAAAACAGAACACAACATTCTGTAGGGCATTCCTCAACACAGATTGTTGGGAATTATATTTCAAGATTATGCATCAAGAGAGTTTCTGAAATTAATTGATAATGAAATGAAAATCAAGTTAGTCAATTTAGTCTTTATAACTAAAATTATGTTAATTTTGATAATCAGAGTAACACATTCAGCACTTAGCTAAGATTATACTTAATTTTAGTAATAGTAAAAAAAAATGGAAGTAAACAGTAGTATGAATTAATTTTTGGTACTTTTCTGTTTTGCCGGCACAAACGATAAAGTCGAAAATAATGTTACAACTGATGCCAAATGGAATATCTTCACTGGTAACCTTTTACCCTTCATTTTCAAAACAACTCGCAGCCATTTCTTATCAGATTGATTGTTTCTTTCAATGCTGGCATACAATTACATAGAATTTTTACTATTTAAATTTTATGCCCCAAGACCATTTGCAGTAATTAATTAGGATGCAGTCACAGCACTCACCCGAAGGCGAAATATAGAAAAGGCAATTTTCAAGGGTTAAATTCATCAAATCTAATGAGAATGCACTAGCGAAGTAAGCACTGTGGTTTTACATAATTTCTGAGTAAGCTATTCGTACGAATTGAAATCATTCTTGCATTTAAACTTGTATTCCACAAGATTTAATTTAAGATTTAACTTGAAATTAATGTAGATAATTACTGAGAGAATTAGATTTTTGTAGCATAGTTTACGTGAGATAAGATCACGTGATACGAACTGGCGAATCAGGATGTTGAACCATGAAAGCATAGTAAATTCTTAAATTAATGCCTTTTTACAAATTTACTGTCTTTATTTATTGGCTTTTTAAAAAATTTTAAACCATATTAAAATGTTTATGCTTTCAAATTAGAAAATTCTCAGAACTAACATTTGTTAACATTTTTTATGTGTATGCTGTCGCCAACAAAGTCTGCTTGGCGAGATTTGCGCCGAAGAAACGGAAAAGTATCTAATTTTTTTAAAATAATATTTTAAATAACCTAGTTGACATTGTTTGCAATTATGTTAATTCTACCGAATAACACACATCAATTATTTTAAAAATCTTGAAGTGAAACTGAATTTATTAATATAAAAATTTGGGGAAAGTGCAGAATCACCCACTCCTTGCGCATTTTTAAGAATTGCACATACTCAGTATGCGTGTACACATCGACCTATTTTCACTTAAAAAAACATCCCAGAATTGCACAAAAATGGCATTGTGCACTTCCTTGACTTTATCCATGTACACATTGACCTATTTTCACTTAAAAAATCAAAGAAAATTGACAAAAATCCAATTCTTCTTACTTTTGTAAAAAGTGCCAAACAAAGAAGTGGGCGATTCTGCACTTTACCCAAAAATTTAATACAGGTTAATCACATATCCCAAAGTTAACAAATTATGTAAATTTAAGTAATAAAATGTGAAACACACACACCAATTTTTTTACTGTAAAATAACATTTTACTTCGTTCGAGATCACAAAGTCATAAAAATGTTTCTTTTGTTATTTGAAGTTCCTCTGAACAAACACATCTAACTAGTAATCAAATTATGTGAAAATAAAACCAAGAATATCATAAAAACTTATTTTACTTATAACTATGAAGGAAATGGAAGAAATAAATACATATGAATGTGTACCGAAATAATTAAAAAATAGAGTTTTGAAAAGAAATACCAGGTTCTGAAAAAAATCATTCCGAAAAATAAATTTATAACAATACATCATTCAATATACATAAAACAACTATAATGTTTCAAAACAATATTGAGGAGTTAAAAATAACACTAGATTGGAAAAAGTAACATTATAATGTTCTTGTTTACTTTAATAACTACATTATTTATATCTGAAAGAAATCTAAAATGACCAGTACTACAACAATTACATTTGAAAGGGAAAAAATGAACAATTGTTTAGTAGCAGATGGAAAATAGAGCCAAGTGTTAATAAAATTCTATCAGTATGAGTTGCATAAAGTAACAAGGGGAAAAAAAAAAAAAGGGTTATAGTAACTCTTTTTCTTCTAAGAGCAATTTTTATCATGTGCATTATTTAAAACATGAACTTTTATCAGATAGAGCAGATACAGATGATTTATCTAAACCTTTAACTATTCTGACATAAAAAAAATCTTTACTTTCCCTAGCCATTTTATACTTTTCTGTCATTCTAGGTGACAGGGAACTCCTCTCAGCTAGAATGTACTAACTATAAAAAAAGACCACCAAAAAAGCCTTAACTAAAAAGAATATTTGGGATTGTTTCTGTTATCAGGACCGGATTCAGAAACGTATGTATGTGCATATATTACACACACGTGTATAATATATGCAGAGGTATACACACATACATCCGTACATACATAAATTTCTTTATCTGGTGCCCCCCACCCCTGATAACAGAACAGTACCGAACATTTTAAAATATGAGGTGTGACATAAAAAAAAAATGAGACTGGTCCAATAAATCATTGTACTTGCAGAATCAGTTCTCTGTAACCTTATCACATTCAAAGTAGTCCCCTTCAGCATTCGGTGCTGCCATTGATGGTAAGTTCTGGAACGAGGTTTTTGGAAGGCCCTTGAGGAAGTTCTCCGTTTTTGCCTGAACCTCTTCAACTGAGGTAAAGTGGCTTCCTTTAAGCAAGCTTGAACTTTAGGAAATAAAAAAAAGTCGCATGGAGCCAAATCAGGTAAATAAGGAGGGTGCCCCACCACAGTAATGTTTTTGCTGGTCAGCAACTGCCTGACAGACAGGGCCATGTGAGCGGGTGCATTGTTCTGGTGTAACAGCCATCCATCACTCCACAACTGTGGCGGCTAATCTTTGGAATATGGAAGTGAAAATAGGTTGACGTGTACATGGATACCATGTATGTGAAATTCTTAAAAACGCAGCAAGCAGTGAGCGATTCTGCACTTTGTCCCAATTTCGCACCTAATCTTTGTCATGATTAAGCACTTTTGTTCCATAAACGTTCTAACATAAGCGTAATTCAGCTAGCAGATTGTTGGAAAAAAATGTTGAGTAAAAAAAAAAAAAAAACATGCCTTTACTTCGTGAAAACAAAAATGGCGTCCAAAAAAAAAAACTAGCAGGTTGCTGTAGCAGGGTTGGTTGCCAAATTTTCGCAAAAAAATCGCCAAGTTACCATAATCTGAAGATTAACCACAGTGGCCTTTTTTCCCTAATTTTTTCATACAGTCTTACTTCAATGTAGTAGTGTTGATTAACAGTCTGACCACTCAGAACTCATTTAATCATTACAATTCCATTAATATTGAAGAAGACAATTGAGAAAATTTTGATTTTGTCATGTGTGCTTTGTCCCTTCCCCCTGAAAACCTCTTATGCCATTCAAACACACATGCACGAGACAAAGTGCCATCTCTATAAGCATCAGTTTTGGGGGTCTGATTAATATGATATTTTTATTGCACATGCCTGAAGAGGAGAACTCGAAGCACCGAAGAAATGTGGGGGGCAGAGGTAGCTCCACAAGTTAAGATTTAAAATGTTTCCGTGGCTGATTTCTTCAGTTTCACAAGAAACTTGATGTTGATTCACTGTTTGGGTTTTTTTTTTGTTTTTACATTAGACATAATTTTAGGCAGAATGCAGTTTCACATGTTCACTCAATGACACAGTACTCCCAAATGGTGCGATCGGTTAAGTCGAAACTGGCCGCATGGATAGAGGAGATGTGTGGGATGACATCACCAAAACAATTGCTGCCAACTCCACTCTTTTTTCAAGCTACACACTTAACTTTGTTTTTTTGGGGGGGGGGCTGTGTCGCATCTTGTATTTTTTTTATTTC